AGACCATTTCAATAGGGCATCCAATGGGTATCCATTTTCCTTCTACTTTTATAGGTATGCTTCAGGCTTTACAGCATCATTTGGGTCACAGAATCACCGAATGGCCTGGATTGGAAGGGACCTCAAGGATCATGAAGCTCTAACCCCCTGCCACATGCAGGGCCATCAACCTCCTCATTTAATGCTAGACCAGGCTGCCCAGGGCCCCATCCAATCTGGCCTTGAACACCTCCAGGGACGGGGCATCCACAACCTCTCTGGGCAGCCTGTTCCAGCACCTCACCACTCTCTCTGCAAAGAATTTCCCCCTGACATCCAACCTAAATCTCCCCTCCCTCAACTTAAAACCATTTCCCCTCATCCTGCAGTTATCTACCTTTTCAAAGAGTTGATTCCCCTCCTGTTTGTAGGCTCCCTTTAGGTACTGAAAGGCTGCAATGAGGTCACCCCACAGCCTTCTTTTCTCCAGGCTGAACAAGCCCAGCTCCCTCAGCCTGTCTTCATAGGGGAGGTGCTCCAGTCCCCTGATCATCTTTGTGACTCTCCTCTGGACCCTCTCCAACAGCTCCCTGTCTTTCTTGTACTGGGGGCTCCAGACCTGGACACAGTACTCCAGATGGGGCCTCACAAGAGCAGAGTAGAGAGGGACAATCACCTCCCTGTCCCTGCTGGCCACCCCTCTTCTGATGGAGCTCAGGATACCATTTGCTTTTCAAGCTGCAAGAGCACATTGCTTGCTCATGTTAAGTTTTTCATCCATCAGGACCCCCAGGTCCTTCTCCACAGGGCTGCTCTCAAGGACTGCTCCTTCCAGTCTGTATAGATACCTGGGATTCCTCTGGCCCAAGTGCAAAACTCTGCACTTTGCTGTGTTGAACCTCACTGGGTTCACCCAGGCCCACCTTTCCAGCCTCTCGATGTCCCTCTGAATGGCATCCCTTCCTTCTACCGTGTCAACTGCACCACTCAGCTTGGTGTCGTCAGCAAACTTGCTGAGGGTGCACTCGATTCTGTCACTGATGTCATTGATAAAGATGTTAAAGAGCACTGGTCTCAAGACAGACCCCGGGGGGACGCTGCTCGTTACCAGCCTCCACCTGGACATGGAGCCATTGATGATCACCCTTTGTCTGCAGCCTTCCAACCAATTTCTTATCCATCAAATCCACATCCCTACAATTCAGAGATAAGGGTGTGGTGGAGGACCATGTCAAAGGCACTGCTCAAGTCCAGGTAAATGACATTGGTAATGATCCTTCCGCAGGGTCAGTTTATGAAGTGACAGAATTCAGACAAAATTCTTGCCCATATTAAACCAAGGGGATAAGAGAACACAGTGGGGTGCAGAACAATGTCATAAACTTACTTCAGCTATTTCTAAGGCCGCTCGGTAACATCTGCTGTTCATGAGAACAAAGGGAACATATTAAAAATGGAGAGATGAAGATGAGGAAAATCAAGATGTAACAGGGGGAGGGAAGCAAAATTGGAGATGATGTGAGAATAATTCCAATTTTCAACAGGAATTGAAATGGTGTAAGTATGCTGGTAAATATTCTGCAATTAGAACACCAGAGAGTGACAAAAAGGAAAAGCTGCCATAAATGGGCCAAAAATAAGTAACAATTTCAGAATAACAGTATGGATGTCAATGGGACTCTTTCCCTCCCTTGCAGGGCACAATCTCAGCACCTCCTCCCACTGCTGTGCTTGAGAGATCAAAGAAAGCAGTTCATCCCTATCTGAAATGATAGAGAACTTCTAAAAAGCAACTGAAGCAATGAAGTATTTTACACACTTGGCAGTCTCACATTTTTTATAATGATCCCAAATACTTCTGGTGTTAAAAGAGTTGCTAGTTAGTTAATACCTGCTTAGAGCCTCTTAACTGCTCACAAATTATCTCCTCTCTCTGTTGTGTGAATGGTGCTATTTCCCATGAAAGCTGAAATGAAGTTTCATTCCATTTCTTTACTTTTCATCTTTAAAATGCTATATATTTACACCTCATTTTTCTTAGCATGCCATTATTTGCCTTCAGTCGAGTAAATTGATATCATAGTATTAAAATATAGATTTAATAGCAAATAATCTTCGAAAATGTCTGATAGTGTTAGGTAGTGCTTAATGACATTTTATAGCATAACATTTCTTATATTTGTATCATAACTTGGCAATCCTCTGTTTAAACTTTTTTTTTCTACAGCACAACTTCTGTTTTGATTATGAAACGGCTGTAAGATTGCCTGACTTTCTATCTCAGAATACAACAAACTTTTCTCTTTTAATTCATAGCTTTCAGTAGTTTGTCCAGTTCAAACTTAAACCAATTTAGACTATTTCCTTGTCAGTAGGAAACTATCCCATATCACTGCCATGACCTGCCAGTAATGCATACAGTGCGTACTCTGGTCTTGCGAATAGCATAGAAGACACTGAGGATGAACAGTGGAGCCACCATCCCTGTATGTGTTCAGGAACCATGGGGATGTGGCACTGAAGGACACAGGTTGGGGTTGGACAAGATGATCTTAGTGCCCCTTTCCAACCTTATTGATGCTATGAGCCTAAGTGAACAAATCCAATGTAACACAGCTTAACCCTTAAATTCAACCCAAAAGAAACACGCTTGACCTACATAAAGCTTTCATCCAGCTAGCCAGTTGTACAAGATCTCCCTATGAAAACCTGGTAAAGTTGCAGTGTGATAGCATGCTTAATTTTGAGCTGGGTGGACAGGGAAGAGGATAATCTTTCTTAAAGAAACTGCACTTATCATAACTGGTCTAGAAGACAGCAAACTCCAACAAACCCAGGACTCTCCTGTCAGGATTTGTTCTTCCACATCCTTCTCTTTGTAGATTTGAATCCAGAATAAGCTAGACACCTTTAGGTTACTAAATTTTGACAAGGCAGCAAATGATGATTATGGATAAGTGTTACTTATAGCTAGTGACCACTTGCTAATTGACAGCTACGCCTGCAAGCTGATGGGTATCTTAAAAAGTAAGCGTAGTAGAAATTGCACATAGGAAGTGATTACTGAAAAACAAACAAAGAAAGGCCAACATACTCAGAGATATCTTCCTCCTCCTCATGGAATCTCCACTTTATATATCTGTTCAGCTAATAATTTCATTTATGAGTTACAAGGCATTTATCTTGAATAGCACAGCTGTTTGGTGAATAGAATGATTCATCTCTTCCTCTCTACTTTCTAAGCAGGATGAAGAGATGTAAGTGTGTGTTGGGACAGAAACATGTCTGTCATCAAGTTGTTGCTTCCTAGATAACTGCACATTAAAAGAAAAATTTGGAAAGACTGCTGCCAACAGAACTGACACAGAGAGTGATGCTGTCTTAAGTAACTGTACTTCACTGACACTTACTACTTGCTTCTCTCCTTTCAAAAAAGGTTGCTTTACACACAAAAGACAGTATTCCTTTTAAAAACAGAGACAAAGACTCATTGCCCTGCATAAGTGGGAATTTAAAGTCCCAAGTGGGTTTCTTGGAGTGAACTGTGTAAGTATTTCTACACATTTCAAAAGATGTAAGAGAAGAAGTTTGGATGGAATGATTGAACAGAAGTATAAATTGCCCTAGGAGATGAAGAACACCTAAGCTAATAAGGATTCCTACCAACATTATACATTATAATTGGAAAAAATGTAAAGATATCAGAATTTACAATACCTCCTTCTTAGATATTTTAACACCAGAATTGTATTAAAAAATACCTGAAAAGATCATATAGTTTGTAGAGAGTATTCTAGTTAAATTCCAGTTATGTGCTCTACTTAATATATGGCTTATGAATTTCATTACCATGAAGCATTGGCTGATACATAATGAAAGTGAAGTTGCTTAAATTAAGCATCTGTTACATAAAATCTCAGTCTAAATTATATATACAGCACAAATATTGGTGTCGTTTTATAGGGAAAGACTGAGCAGGTGGAAGTTCTGCAAGCTTCAAGACTACCAAATAAATGGTCACACATTTGCAAGGGGTATCTGCAGCCACAGATCTGCCTGTGCTGGTGCACTTCAGCTGTGGCCACAAACCTATGTGTTACATACAAGTTGCCTGTCTCTCCTCCTTGCTGGTTCTTGTCTATTCTGCATGTGACAGCCCTGTTGCTTTGTCTCTCCCTTGTGTTTCACCGGGAGGAAGGCAAAGACATAAGGAACCCCAGGGACACTAGAATGCTCCATAAACACAATTAGAGCGTTCAGCCTCTTCATTTAAAGCAAGTACCATATTGCTACCAACATCTGTTTCAGGCTGTACAGGGGCCCATAAACAAACCACACCCTTCTGAACCAGCAGAGTCCTGTAGCATCTGTTGACTGTGTTTGCATACTTAGCAGCTACAACAACGGCATCCCCTACGTACTCTCAATTACACTGCCTTGCATATTCAGATGGCTTCCTTTGGGAGACAAATGTCATTTACCTGCAGCCCGAGTTCTTAGAGGTGAGCCTGTATGAGCTGTTACTGTGCTGTGGGCTCCGTACGTTCAGGGGGTACAGTTCATTTGGGCCTACTAGTTAATAGCACAGGTACCTGCCCTGCATAAATGGTAAGAATGCAAAGATCATCCAAACATCACCCCTCTAAGATCTGTATCAGTACTCCTTCCACACAGGAGGATGAAACACACTGCAGTTCAATTGCTTTTTACACTTGAAAACCTTATTCTTCTATTAAACACTGTTTTCTAAGGAACAGTAAAGCACCTGCAGCCAACTGCTCACTTGTGAAAAATTAACCACTGAAAATAGCGTCACATTCCTGTAGGGAATGGACTGATCAATAATCAGCGGACTGACTGATGGCTTCTAAAGTGAAACTGAGAGGTGTGTCAGTATTTTAGCATAGATAGAGCAATGTGTATAATCCGGCTAGTAGCAATACTCTCCAGATAAGTCACCAAACTACCTTTACAGCTGCAAAGAAAGGATCATTCTTTATCTCCTTTAGTAACAGCTTTACCTGTTGAACATCCTGCTGGAAAACGCAGAGCTGCAGCCTTTGGTGCAGCCGGACCTTTCGGTGCTGCCAGATGCTCTCCAGGCGCCGCTGGTGATGCAGGACCTCATGTACCACATCCAGTACCTGGTGCACAGCTTTGGAGTAGTTTGCAGTAGCAGTGAGGGATTCTGAATTCCCAGGGCTCAGGGGACGCTGTAGGACATCCAGCAAGGCTTTTCCATCCTGGCTTACCTGAGTGAAGAAACAAGTCTCCTTCACTGAGCTGATACTTCAATATTCAAGAGCTGAGAACGAACAACCTCGCTGATTCTTTTTCTCTGCATCTCTTCCTTATTTTAGTCAAAAAAGAAGCCCTCATTACATCTCTATTTGACTTGTACTTGCACATGCAGCGCTGCCTTCGCTTCCTCATGGGCCTGCTGTGTCACTCAGCAGCAGCACAGGTACCGCTCTGCTGGGACTGAACAGACACAGCAATCCCAAAGGATGTTACGTTCTGACACATGGACACTGAAAATTCCTGACATGCACCAGCTGATGACAGGTGGCATTTGCAATAGGGGCCTATTTACATGAGGAGGTGGCATTTTAAGAAAACCACAGATGGCAGAGTCATTCATATTCTGTATGATAAGGGAGAGTCCTTTCATCGTAGGATTACTAAGTAGGAATATACCTTCTGAGGTGTGACATTCTGATTCTGTATTTCATTCAGTGGCAGCGAAATGAGGATAGGAGGGTGACTCTCCTGTTCCCCAGGAGTGCTCAGAGGCATCTGTAGCCTCCAGTCTCAATGGGCTACAAAGCCTGGAGACAAATGGAAAGTCCTCTGCACATGTGCAATCTTTTTTTGTGCGTACTGCAAAACAGTTGCAGATGCAAAGGCATTTGGGCATTAAAAAAGCAGAATGCTAGATTTTTTTAAATGCCAGAATATACTTAAAAAAACCAAACAAAAACCCTATCCTAACAAAAACATATTAGCAAGTGTATACTTGCATAGTTCTCTAAAAAACTTTGCCTTAAGATGTTTGAGCTATGGATTGCAAACTTGAAATATTTTGTTCAACAGAAACATTTAATAAAGACACTACTGGAATCCCTCTCTTTTCTCAGCCTACTCTCCTCCTTTCCCTCAGAAACAAACTGCAGAGAAATGATGAGGTTTCCTGGAAACGTGTTTTTATTTCTATGCAATCACAGCCACTAACCCTGCTAAAGAATGGTTTGAAGAATGCTTTCCATCCAGTTTGAATATTGATCATTAGCAAAGTTCAAACATGTCTCAAGGATTTTCAAGTCTCATTTATCTCCATATTATAGTTGCTCAGTCAAATGTAGCAAATGCCCACGAATCCCAAATCTGAGTCTTTTGGCAAGCCATGCCACAGTCCCAGGCTGTTAGAATAGTAAATGTGCAGTGCAATTGCAGAGAAATGAAGAGAGCCTCTGAGAATTACACTTGCAGAACTGGGAGTCAATTCTCATCACACTAAGTGGGCTTAGGCAGTGACTATTAGGTGGGCTTACGCGGATCCTTGGAGATTTTTTTTTTTAAATATTCATGGTAATTTGGAATTAGATCAGGAAATAAATGGGAAGCCTGCAGGGAGAGGTTTTTCCATTCTCAGATTTGGTTGCTGCCAAAAAGCAGCTGGAGCAATCTGCACAGACTGAAGCCTGCTGGGGTCACAGAGGGAGCAGTCACAGCCACAGCAGCGCACAGTGGGAATACGGGGGGATTTTAGCAGGGAACACTGAGGCACAGGTGTTTCCTTAGCAACCCAGTGGAGGTGGCAATGGCTGTTAGGCAGGAAGCAGCAGCATCTAGGCAGGGAAGGAGGCATGGCAAGCTGCGTCCTATTTTATCTGTGAGAAGATAATTAGCAACAATCCAGTCACTGGGAATAGGGAACCAAGGCCATGCACACACGTGTGAGCAGCTTATTAGACCTGAAACTCATTCTTTCCGCTGACTAACTTCACTGTGTGAATTCACTACAGGCCTGATCCCACTATTTGGGTTATCAGTTGGTCTGAATCTATCCCATCATGTATTTGTTCCTGTTGTCTGTCTGAAGAGCCTCAGAGATTACCAGTTAAGATTCTTCGCTGACACGCAACCTCGCAGCACTGTCTGCACAGCCAGAGATAAATGCCAGATATCAAGTGCCCAAGTTGTTCTGCTAATAATCATTAACATACAGGAGAGGCAGCTAGAAACATTCTCCTGCTTTGTAGCCTACGAGCTTGTCCTGTCACACTGACAGCAATCTACAAACACACGCCAAGCAGCATGGTGATAGACAACCAGTGATGCTCAATATTTCCAAAGATTTCATACATATTCTAGGACTTCATATCTGCTATGTTTTACAGAAAGAAAGGGAACAGCTTCACAAATGGAGGAGCTATCTCTGCTCTTTTAGCCATTTCAACCCTCCCCTTTGTTTTGCAAAAATATATATCTCTTTTCATGTGAATATTCTGGATTTTACAAGGACTGTGCAAGGTCACCAGCATAAAGAACCCAGTTTAGTCGCATTTACATCTCACTTACAACACATTTTTAAGACATATAGCCAAAGTCTTAAACTTAATGGACCTGCACCCAGCATGACTTGCAGCTCCTGTGATCTTTAAGTGACAGTGTTGTACCTGTCAAAGGAAATTTGACCATTTTTTCCCCCACTTATTTTTAATAGTACAGAAATGCTGCTGTTCAGCTACAAGAGATACTGGTGGAGCAATATAAACAGCCTGGCTTGAGATATTTATGGAACCTCCTCCTGTGTCAGAAGCAGCTCCCAAATGCATATCCCTGATGTGTGCGTCTTCCCTTAAGCACAGTTCTACCCAAAGTAAAACCAAGAGCATCACTTCATTTTCAGAAGAAGGCAGGCCTGTTCTGCCAACAGCCCCACTTGCTGCTAGCAGCAAGTAGAAGAAATTGCTTGGCTGTGGGTTGCACATCAAGCCCACGATCTCTGCCTTCAATGTTTCTGAGCTTCACTCATAGTCAATAAAGGAAGGAGGCAAATAATTATGGCTACAACCATGGTAAAAAATAAAATAAAGTTTTCCTAAGATTCTTTGGGCATCTCTTCTTATGTTCCTGCAGAATATCTAAAATGTTTCCTTATACTCTATAACAGGACAGAAAAGGCCTGTATATCCAGATTTATATGTTTATCCCAATGAATATCCATTCTATTACAAATATTGTACTATTGCAGAAATAGAAAGTGATTTTCAATGACTCTGTAGGAAAAGAAAGTGAAAGCTACAATTTTCATCCCACCATAAAGAGATCATATGAAAGAAACATTAATTCTATAGGCAAGAGACATTGTCTAGATTTGAGAAATGAGCACGTGGATAGGAGGTAGGGCTCCACAGTCTAATCCAAGCTTTTATGTTCTCTACGTAACCACGGGCAAAGGAATGAATATTTCGGAAATAACAGACTGTAACCTTTCTGGCAGTTCTACAGAATGCCTAAAAACGTGCTTAGAGAAATAATGTAGAAATGTTTTAAACAGCTGTGTGTGAGACAATTTATAGCTTTCTGAGGAAGCATCAGCAAAAGCAATATGCATATTAAAGGACGCTTTTGTAATGCATTTTAAATAATTTACATTTCACAAAAGCTAAGACTGAGGCTGCTAAACTAATGCTAGTTTAAACATTATTTTTTAAGAGAGATTTTCAAGTGCAATCAGAGAACCTTAGTTTCTGACTAGTCACGTGCATAAAAATTCACAGTTCCAACCAGAGGCCAATAGGAACATTCTCCATTTGCTCACACAACCTCCTGCTCCTGAGAAGCCCAAGTATTGTATTAGAAGTTGCACTTCATGACTGCAACCCAGAATTGCTCTTTCCTCATGACTAACATCCAAATCATTCATGCTGTTTAGAAAACAAGGCATTACTATTCAACATCACTTACATTCTTCATCTTTTCTATATGAGGTTTGTCCCTAAGATTGCCCTGGTGGTCCCCTGCAAGCAGACTCCAGGGAGTCCCCAGACTGGGAGTAGACAGTTCTGACTTCTTTGAAAGAGTTGCGATAATGGAAAGTAAACCTACTTTTTTTTTTTTCTCCCCAGAAAAGCTGACTTCCCAAATATAGTCAAGTATCTGTTTGCATTTAGCAGACATGTTCTCCTCTGGGAAGCACATACCTCTGTGTAGGCCTGTGTTACTTGTTCATACAGAGACTGATGATGATGGATGGCCAGCTCTAGGTCTTGCATTTCTGAGGGGAGGCCTCCTTCACTGCACATTTTACACCAGGCATCCACACCTGAAAGGAACTGAAAAATTACAGAAACAATGAGCAACAGTGACAAAGAACATCATCACAACAGCTTTAGAGAACTGAGTAGAATACCACTTAGAAAAACTAGAATGCCACTGACAACTCCAGCCCGGACTGAGGAGAGTGTAACAGTCAAAAAGGATTGGAAAAGTATATTCCTGTTACATCCTGAAGAGTATCTCTACCCAAAAGAACATTTTCTGTTCCTTTTGAATTAAAAACCTTCTTTAACCAGGCTCAGAAAACACCCATACTAAGAGTCTTTGCATATAGAGCAGGGAGCCTGCAATGTTTGGAAAAAAAACATCAGTGTGAAGCACAGGAGGATCCAGCTGTATTTGCCATCATCTCAGTCATCAAACATCCCTTGGTCACTCACCTGTACTTAACTCTAATTTGGGCAATAGAAAACTCCCATTAAAATCAATACTGACATTCATTTCAGTGAAAAGCAGACAGTCTGTATTCAAGCAGCTCCCAGCTCAGGGCCAGCTCAGTGGGATTGCTAATAGGATACCAAGGCTTTAACCTCCAGGTCATACATTTGGTCCTGGCCCAGGTCAGCAGTGATCAGATACTATTACCATCTGATGGCTGTTAAGCAGCCAATTCAAAATGAGCTCCTGGTCTCAGTCCAGTTCCTGGTGGGCAGAGATCCACAAAAAGGGAGAAAAAAAGGGACTGCCATTGATATGGTTTAGCACCTTGGTTGGAAGCCTTAACAGAGAGGCAGAAACTGAACAGTCTTGGGGAGTAGAGGGATGGAAAAAAAATTTCCATTCTTTAAGGCCTCCAAAGAAATGCTGATGCTCTTTAGCAGAACAAACTGGGGAAGGTCTCCCAGGTGCTGCCTATTCTGCAAAAGAAAGGTGGAATTTAGCCTGTAAGGTTCCTGTCTTCTTCCTTTAAGCAGGGCCTACTCCAACGACATAATTGCTACCATGCTCATATTTAGTCTGTACTAACTGCCTGATGCCACCTCATTATTACTCATTAATATTTTTCTCTTCCTCCATCTATCTGATAAACCAACCTGCCATACTTCAGGGCTACAAATAAAAAAAATGAACAGCTGATTATAAAGCAGACGCAGTGCCCTGTAGGATGAACTTGTAACACCACATCACTAAATCACAGCTTTACCAGATCCTCAAGTGCTCACCTGTGGCTTCTTCGTAAAGCGCTCCTCATGGAGTGAGGGGCTGTGAGATTCAAAGTAAAGAGTTTCAATTCCACTCGGGTATCAGCATCCTTTTTTATTAGCACTGTAATGCTATTCAGTATGCTGTTGTGTAAACAAGGCTATAATGTGTTTGCATTGTAAATACAGAGATTCAACAACAAAGATAATGCCCTAAACATTTGTGTCTACAAGGTACAAATCTACCAGTGAGAACTATGCTTCCTAGGAGACTGGAGGCAAGGACACCAGGTCCTCTTATGTTAATCTGACTTCTGATCTGTCACATCTCTACAGACAAAATTCCCAAACACCTCTCCATAAAGCTGAAGTTGCCTTATTTTTTGCTGAGCTAGTGGAATTCACATCATTTCCTAGTCAGTTTTAAGGGTATGGAGCTGAGGCCAATCCCTTCTGGGGCTGTTACATGAACCTCTCACAGTTGACACAGTGAACAAAGGACCTCTACACCTTACAGATCAGTGTTCCTGCTGCCAGAATCACACAGTTACAGCTCTTATCTGAATGGCTGAATTCTATCCATTTTTATACAAGCTCTTACAGTCTTGTTACTCCTATGCTGCCATAGGACCAGAGCACGCTTTGCACAGTAGGTGGGAGACATCTCAAGAAGATTTTATGCACCTAACTGCATCACTGCCTGCCTGTCTCACATCTACCTTCTTTCTGTATATCTATTGTACACAGGCAATGTCACATCAATAACTACATCAGCAATTCCACTCCTACCATGAGCAGGAGCAGCTGATGTCCTCTCTTTTAAGAAGCTGTAAGAAACGCAGCCTGTTGGTGTGTGGAGTTCATATAGGGAGAGTAAGCTATGTTTTAAGGACTTCTGACAAGTATTACTTCATACCACCAGACTATCAATCTGGGTATTTTGTAAAAAAGAACAGCTATGTCAATATTTATTACTTGTAACTTACTCTGGTGGAGCCAAGCAACTTTATTCTGTGTAACTCTTCATGCTAGAAACAGATTCATGTGACAAAACCATTGCTTGAGTTAAAAAAAGACACATTTAAAATTACGACTGTGAGGTTGGAACAGGAGCGAGGACCAATATAATTGAAGTTAATTGCTTAAATTTCCAGTTAGCCCATAGACTGGAATAGCTCCTATAGGGAGCATAAAAGCTGAAATGACAGACTCCAATAATTGCACATGTGTTTCAGAATCTGAAGAAAGATTAAGAAAAATATCTCCTAAAAAATAAAATCTTTCCTTGTGCCTAACAGCCCACACTTACTACTGGTTCATAACCTATCCACCAATTCACAAATCTGTATTAGGCCCAGCACTAATGGATGCTTAAACCACTTCTCACTAGCTCTCCTCCATGATTCCTATTCTGGATCACACAGAAGCTCTAGAACGCAGCTCTGACATTTTGTAGCCCATGTTCACTTATGTTTTCTGCACAGTCCTTGCTTACTACTTAGGTCTATGCATGAAAACCACAGGTTAAGCAGGGTGGTTTCTCAGGTCCCAGAGAAATTAAAAACAGACTCTGGCCTGTCTCTGTCATCCTGAAGTGATGCAAAAGAGCTGTGGGGATGACGGAAAGCGAGCAATGAAACTGTTCTTAGGCCTCAGTGGCCTAAAATATCTATCGATACACACGTGTATAATTATATTTTGGCTTGTTGGGTGTTTTTTTGTTTATTTGGGTTATTTTTTTTTTTTAGGGGTGTAGGGTATGAGACTAACTGCATATTTCTTGATGTTGTTTCTGAAATCTCCTTTCCCTATGCAGTGCTAACGTTATCCTTGCATCTTAAAGATGTCAACTGTCTTCTCCTTTGCTTCTTTCCCTCAGATTTCCTCTCTTTTTCACTTCCTTTGCTCAAACAGCAGAGCACTCAGATGGATCAAGGCAGAAATGAGCACAGTAGTCTCCTTGGCTAAGGAGGAAGGTAATACAAAAGGCCACAGGTCAGTTTGCAGAGGATCACCATAAATATCTAGTGCATGCACTCAGCACCTACTCCTTTAAATAATAATTCTGCTTGTGCACTTCTGAGGGTAGTCTCTGACCCAGAATTAATTGGTTTAGATCTCTCAGCTGATTGAAGATATTATTTGTTGGTTCTGACAGGATCTGTAGAGCGAGCACCTGATTAATAATTCAGCACACAATCAGAGATTACAGCCAAGAAAGGGAGGACACCTGGTATATCTGCTTCCCTCACCTGGCAGTCAGTGGGCCAGAACCTCCTCTCGTGTACCTCAGCATAGTTCTCAAAAAAAAAAAAAAAAAAATCACACTGAGATAAGGCATGTTATCCTATATTCCCTTGCAACTTAGAATAGCCTCAGGTACCTAAATATATATAAGATGATTTTATTTTGCACTAGAATCTCATGCAAGCATGAGAAGAAGAAAAGATAGATTTGTAGCAGGCAATGTTAAGGGACATTTGGACACTTAACTAAGTACCCTGACTTGTATCTTCACCTGGACACAGCAAATGTTTGGAATTTAGTTCACCAGCTTTTGATCAAGCACACACACTGAAAGAATCTTGGCAGGAGGCTAAGTTGGCAAGATTCATCTTTTCTTTCCTTCCTTTCTCTCCCTTTTTTTTTCCCTGCCCCATTTTCTGTGTCATTTTCTTGCTAATGGTTAGGTACATTTAAAATATGTTTGAAAAAATTAAGGAAGACACATGCATGCACTAAAACATACAGGCAGAGAAGGAGGAAAAGAAAGAAACAAAGCAAAAAACAAGCTTTGGTACAGGAACTCATTCAGCCACATTCAATTCAACATGCCACATGTATCTGCTATGAGAGCCAGGAAAGCAACGTGATTCTGAGGCATGTGAAGACAGATGTGAGGTTCAATTCCCAGCACAGTTGACTCAGCCTTTCATCCTTCCAAGACAGACAAATTGTGTTCTGTGCAGTGTGCTGTGTGGGGTCTTTAGGAAGAGACCTTGAAAAACAAGTTATTTCCTGCTCAGCTTGCATATTATGAGATCGGAGAACTTTTCATAAATCTCTGTCCCAAGCCAACAATTTCCTTGCGGGCTGTGGCGTGCCAAAGGCTGAAAGATTATGATCCTACTAGACTTGCTTCCTGTTGGCATCACAGGGAACTTCAATCAGTAGGAAGAACTGAATAAAGAGATGGTAGCAGCTTATCGTGGCTGGGGAAGGAAAGAATCTGCATAGCAGACTGGTATGAGGCATGCTGTGGGAAAACTGGTTGGATCTGCATTGAGACTTCCATTACCAACAGAACAAAGGGAGCAAAATCAAGATTTGATCTGCAGCAGGGGAAGCTGTGGGTTTATCTACATCCTTGCTTCAGAGATTTAGACCTTAATTATTGTAAAATGAGGAAGCCCTGATTTTAATTATAAATCAAAAATACAAGAAAACCACCCTTGGTGATGCCAAATAATTAGGGATCACATTGAGAATGAATGCTCAATAGATCACAGGCTGAATTATAAACCAAATCCCAAATGCCTCACTTTTTATACTATACAGAGGTCAAATGATTAAGTTATTAGAGAACAAGTCATTGGTTTATACTACCAGAGTAACTGAAGCAAGACTAACAATTCAGTCTTGGCTAATGGACACACTGACTCCCACTTCTCTTTTTTTCCCCATCAGTCTGAGTCTGCAGCCTTCAGCACTTATCTCTCACTGAATTGTCTCCTACTGAAAGAAGGAGTGACTGCTGTTCGGAATTAGCAAATTCTCCTGTCTGCTTAATAATGAGAGACTTGCCTCTGTCAGGCAGCACAAACCTCAGTTCCTTTTATAGAAGTGCCAAGGGAGGACTGTTTTTTTCAGACCCAGCCATTCAATTGCACAGAGAAAAAAAAAAAAAAAGAGCCAAAGCTGAAAGTGACATTAGTCTAGTCTTTTTCAAGTTAAGGCTGAGGTAAAATATCCACTTTGACAGCGTTCAAAGAGAAAGATGACAAAAAACCTCACCTCTAACTGACAGGCAGTTCAGTGCAGCTATTTGTTTTATTGTCTTTCATCCTATAAAATACCCTGGCAACTCCTCATAAATTGCAAATAAGATTGACACTTCAGAAAAACATGGGATTGCTCATAAAAAAACAAGTACCAAACCAAACAATAACTAATTCATTCATAAATCTTTAACCATTCTCTCTCTGTATATAGACGGGATATAATTTTTTTTATTTTTATGAACATACAGTGACTGACAAAAATCAATACAAAGTCTGCACCTAAACTTTACAGTGCCCAGTGTACAGAGGTGAAAGTACTTGGACCAGCCATCTTGTTAGGATATCAGGTCCATCAGTGCCTGCACTTATGTGAGCACATACATCATTAGGTGCCTGGCAGGGTGAGTAATTGCTCCATGTTACAGCCTGTAACGTTGCCAGTAATAAGTAAAAAATATAGAAAAATGCATCATTCTTCAGTAAGAAACAAATAATAAAGAAAGTCTTTACTGTTTAAGCTAAACATTTCCTTACATGTATTCTGACTGTTACAGTTGGAAAGAGTAGTGTGGTGGAAAGGTGATACAAGAGTGAAATGGCAAAAGGGACAAACAGGGAAAGAGAATACTCACCCATCTCCAAAGACCTAGGCTCACAGGGAGAAGTCCACAAGGAAGGGACCTCCAACCAGAGATCCTTACCCAGTGGCAGTAAGTCCTTAAGTGAGGTCTAAGAGAGGTGTAACCAGGCTCCACCCCTTCAGATCACACAGCTGAATTGCCTTCACCTGTGCTCCCAGCACTGAGCTGGTCCTTTCCCCAGGTGCTCAATCAGTGGTTCAGGCTGTAACTGAACAGTTCCCATACACTGACCCATGAGGCATGATTTCTGGTTTAAAAGTCATCAGCCACTTGAAATATGGGCGGTATATAAATATTTGCAGCTTTAAAAAAACTATTCGGAAAAAACAAGTGCAAAACAGCACTGAAAAAAACTCCTAAAGCCATGTTTTTAAATGGGAAATGAATACAATCAGTATATGGATCAAAGCTGAACCATCAATGATAGGTGGAGCTGGTTTTAAATCTGTTCACTGATTTTAAATCTGTCACAGTCATGAAATTATGAAATAATTCTGAGGCAGTGGGTGCTGCATTTCAGCAGTGGTGACAGTGATGTGGAATACAAGCCATATTATGGACAGCCACACACAGCTGTCACACTATGAAATGAAGGGTGGCTCAATCAGCTCACCTGCATGACTTAGTGGTTTATGACCACAAAACTGCATATGAAGCTGAATATCAGTTTCAATGCATTAGAAATGGCAACACTGAAAGGTCGCACAATCCAGGTGGTTCACACAGAAACAGAAAGAACAGTGTGTGCAAGTTTGTTAGAACTTATTGAACCAATACAAGGCTGAATGTGACAGTTTCCTGGATTACATCATTACCAGTGATGAGATGTGGTATCACCACTAGGAGCCAGAGTCAAAATGGCAGTCCACAGAGCGATGACGTGAATTCCCCATTGAACAGAAAATTCAAAGCACAGCCCTCAGCAGGGAAAGTGATATGCACTGTCTTTCGGGATAAGGGAGGAATGGTCCTTCAAGATTTCCTGGAATCCAGGACAAATCTTTAATTCTGACAGCTACATTGTGACACTGACTAAGCTAAAGGTTCAAAATTCCAGGGTCAGGCCAGAAAAGATGACAAACTTTCTCTTGCAACACAATACTGCCAGGACCCATATCATTTAGGAGGTTGTGGAATACACTGCCAATCTTAGCTGGACTGTCGTACCACACACACCATGCAGTCCTGATTTGGCACCTTCTGACTTCCATCTGTTCAAATCAATGAAATATGGAATGCATGGGTAACATTTTCCTAGCAATAACATTATAGCAGCTGTGAAAAAGTGGATCACCTCTGTTGGTGCAAATTTTTACAAGCATGGCATGAAGGCTCTCATTCATTGCTGGTGAAAACACATAGCTGACGGTAGTGACTAAGTTAAAATGCAGTGCTTTGTTGTTGAGAATTTGCTCTATCAAATATCGTTATTGTGCTCTTTGTATCTACTGTAGTTTCCATGGAAATAAATAGGAAGTATTACAGAACAATCCTCATACATATCAGTGTTGATACTTGTTTTCCTGACCATAATATTCCTGCCTTTATCCACAACACTGATAGAAAACTAGGCAACAGAAATAAGGCAGCACGTAATGGCATAAGTGCATTTCAGTTCTCATTAGATTCTATCTCATCACTAAGGCCAAAAAGTATTTCCTTACCCCTCAAGTAATGCATGCTAATTTCTGTGGGGGGATACGTTGCTTTTCGTTTTGAAACACTGCTCCAGTAAGAGCAAGACTCTTAGTTTAACTGCACATAAGCCAAAAACCATCAGGTAATAACATCACCGCTATCGAGTTGTCAGTAGATCGCTTTGCTAGTCACAGAAGTAGCTCACCTGTTCAGCTTTCTGGTGAAAGACAGCAGACATGGCTAAGATGGTGCTGCGTTCATCCAGAGCTGCAGCAAAACTCTTCCACTCTTGATCCAGCTGTGTAGAAATTTGTTTAATTTGCTGGGAAGCGTAATGGCCTGCCTCAGACAGCCTGGATGCAACAGACATGATCCGATTTATGTTGACATAGGCGTTCTGAAAATTAGAAAGCACACATAAATAAAGAGCAGGAAGAACCGTGACCATTCTGCCTTCATTACAAATTCCAAACACCACCAGTTGGAGCAAAGCCGAGCAGTTCAGTGAGAGTAATCAACCATCCTTTTAAATATGCACAAATAGCAGGCATACTACCCTCCACGCTAAAAATGCACCCCACAGGAATTTTTTTGCATATATGCCATTATCTACCACTTAGTTATTTCTCCTCTTCTTCTGTTTGTTTGTTTCTCTATGTATTTAAGTCAAATCAATTGCCATTCATTAGCTATTTACTCATCTGTTAGGGTTTACACATTGCTTCTTGATATTTCTGTCGAATTACTTCACATTTCTCAAAGCTAAGTCCACATATTTATAAAGGAAATGTTTGCTTTCTATCCTTTGAGAACTCTGACAATCCTTTATAGACAGGCAGTGTCAACAAACGGAAAAGTCTTAGAGAATTTAAAAGAGCCCATAAAGATATTCTATAGAAAGATGAGTTTCCATGGAAATGACCATCTTGCTCAAAATTTTCATTTGGCTAGATGTAGTCAGATCAATTTTAAAGAAATAAAGACTATTTTTTTCCCCTGTATGATTAGAAGAACACTGATCAAAATTATTCTGAAGTTTTACATATACTTAAAAAAAAAATTATTGTGATTTGATTGCAGCTGGTGGTCAAACATCCAAATACCTCGAACTGCAACTTTAAAAAACATTTAAGCCTTTCTCTCAGAGAGTCTTCATGACTGATCCTGAGCCAAGACAACTTCACAGTATATCAGGTCAGTTATTGTGGTGAAAAACAGTGTAGCAATAGTACAGAGGCATAAGCCTGGGTGAGTTGTACCAACAAAAGACACGGGATGTTGTCACTTTTGAAGAGAAAGAAAAGTTGAAATCAATAAGTTTTGACTACACGTGAAAAATAGTAGGTTTCCTCTTTTTTTTTTCCCCCCCATGCATAATTAATTATCTTGGGTATTGCAATGCAGTGGGCATCATCCAATAGGAGAAAAACAACTGAATTCCTCGGTTCTCTGCAGCTACAGCATACAGACATACCAGCTAACCAGTAGAAAGGCAGAAGTAAGCTTAGTTGAAATACAGCAGATGTTCCTAGAGTCTGTTTTTCAAGTTAGGGAGATTTCTATATCCTTATGTCTATTTGTTATATGTTTATACAGAGATGAAGATCTCCCTGAGGAAATTTAATTTCCTAGATGAGGCTTTTTAATGGCAGAGTAGGAACCCGTGCTGTAGCAAACCCATCAACTCCATCACTCTTCCAACAGAATGCAAGGAGTTGCATGGGTGTCACCTGTTCACACCTCTGTTCTCAGTGCACCAAGTGGAACTGGCTCAGGCAACAGAGTATCCAAAGCTTCCTCTGTTGCTTCTTGATTGATAAATGGATCCAAGCGCATACTCGGATGCGATGTGCTCTTCTGTACAGTTCCAATTGGCAGTGCCATGTGGATACCTCCTACTCTGTGACATAGGTACCCCTCTCATCCACTGTCTCTCATATCTCAGTGATTCAATGACCCAAAGAAACCCAAGGTATAGGAAAGCTTTGACTAAAAATCTCAAACAGCACATTCTATCAGACACTTTGTTTCTTATCTCAGTACACTGTCACCATTACTGGGAAAAAATGGGGTCAAGATTGTGAAGGAGATTTGGATTGCTGTTGTGGGTTGAAACAAAATCTAATATGGCTTCAAAGCACTCAAGAATCCAGTTTTGAGAATAAAACAACAAAAAAACAGACCACAATCCTCAAAAATTGCAAGACGCTTATTTTCCCATCATGGAATAGAGTAAAATTGTAAGCAAGCTGCTTTCATCTTTATCTGCTAATGTGTAACGTTTCAAGTAAAATGGAACAAAAAACCTAAAAAGCCAAAATTTAACTGTCACATTTCACAGAGTTAAAACTTCTTTTCCCTCTGGTCTGTTCATCTCTAAAAACCGAATGAATGGGGAGTTTCTGTATTACAGTTACATAGATCTTTTGGTCCTAAAAGAGAGCAAATTAAATAGAGCAACCACTATCTGTGACTTCATTTTTCCTTTAGGATGGAAAAATCCACAACTAGCAGGTTCATAGAGAGCTTCACTTTAAATATAATCTAAGTCCAAGCTCTTTTTTTTTTTTTTTTTCTCCCCCCTCTCCGGTGTTTTTCTTCATAGAAAAGAATTGTCCCCAAAGAGTTCTGCAAGGGATTACTGATTCATGGCTACACAGAAGTACAGTAGGTAAACTACAGGAAAGCAATATATTAATGTCTAGAAGCAAGGGCAAAAGCACTACAGTTGACATTCTATTGTATTGAAACTGGGGGACAACCAAGTTTTGGCTGATCTTTTCTTTACCATCAAGAAAGCATTATTTTGCAGTTATTTGCAGTTTCCAAAAGCAGGTCACTATCTTAAAAGTTAATTTTTCCTTCACTTCTTTCAACTGTGAAATTCAGAGCAACAAAGGGGACATTCTGCTCCTAAAGACAAAAAAACACAGCAAAAAAAAAAGATTCCTTCACATGTGCATCAGTAGCATAATATGCATGAGTATTTCTCATGTGCAATGCCTTTCAAGTGTAGAACACCTCATTTTGTCCACCAAGTCTTAGTCCACTCCTGTAGCCTAAACAAGGCCTTGATTCTTATAATTAATGTCTAAAACATAGCTGTTCCTTCCAGTGTTTTCACTCAAGTCCCTACCACTTGTTAGGATGACAGCCTTTGACAATAAGCACTGACAGCAGTGGTGATTCAGTTGTGGAATAATCTCCCACAGGGAAATAAAGCACTAATTCAGACCTGATCATCTTTGCAGTGTGCCCTTGCGGCTTGGAAGGCAAATGGTATCCTGGGCTCCATCAGAAGAAGAGGAGTGGCCGGCAGGGACAGGGAGGTGATTGTTCCCCTCTACTCTGCTCTTGTGAGGCCCCATCTGGAATACTGTGTCCAGGTTTGGAGCCCCCAGTACAAGAAAGACAGAGAGCTGTTGGAGAGGGTCCAGAGGAGGGCCACGAAGATGATCAGGGGACTGGAGCACCTCCCCTATGAAGACAGGCTGAGGGAGCTGGGCTTGTTCAGCCTGCAGAAAAGAAGGCTGTGGGGTGACCTCATTGCAGCTTTTCAGTACCTAAAGGGAGCCTACAAACAGGAGGGGAATCAACTCTTAGAAAGGGTAGACAACTGCAGGATGAGGGGAAACGGTTTTAAAGTTGAGGGAGGGGAGATTTAGGTTGGACATCAGGGGGAAATTCTTTACAGAGCGAGTGGTGAGGTGCTGGAACAGGCTGCCCAGAGAGGTTGTGGATGCCCCGTCCCTGGAAGTGTTCAAGGCCAGAATGGATGGGACCAGGGGCAGCCTGGTCTAGCATTAAATGAGGAGGTTGATGGCCCTGCATGTGGCAGGGGGTTAGAGCTTCATGATCCTTGAGGTCCCTTCCAACCCTCGCCATTCTGTGATTCTCTGTGATCTGAAGAGCATGCTGAGACACCTCCCCTCTAAAGTAAGCCCTCCAACTCTAGCTGGAGTGATGCTTTCTTCTATTACACATACACAGAGAACACCTTGCTCTCTGGAAAGAAAAATGAGCAGTAAGAAACATTAAATTTGCAAGAAAATTGGCTGTGTTCATCTCCTTTCCTAGAGAAATGGTTGACATACTGCGATGGCAGAGTGAACGTGGGGAATTGCAGATTAGTTGGAGGCAAAATTTGATTGTTGAGGAAGAAAAAGAAAGCTCACACCACGAGTTTAGAAACCATCTGTGAAGTGAACCTAACACATAAATCCAAAGCAGAATGTTTCAGTGATAAAATAATCTCATGAGATATCTTTAAGACCTTTAAGTTTCTATAAGAAGACCAATTACATTTAGCATGTTGCAGAATAACACTGGATGGTATTTTAGCTCAGCCTACACACAAAAATATATTGTTCTTTTAATATCAATGATGGGATTTTTTTTTTTTTCCAAAAGACCTCATTTGCCTTTACGAAATAATTGTAATTCGTATGAAATATATTGTGACTTTCTTAAGATGATATACATCTCCATCTAGTGTTAGACAACTAACTCCCTGACAGCCGGATGGGCAGCACTGCCAACACTGAGCAGCCCTATATTTATGTATGCTCCATGGAAAGTGATAATTCACTCTTTAAGGAGGTTAACAGATCCAGGCATAAAACAGTCTTGGCAAAGGAAATATGAGCAACCTCAGTTAGAACAAGTGATATGTATGCCATCTATCCAAGTACAAAGCTATGATCAGAGTGGTAAGAGAAAAGATTCGGAGCTTCAGTGTAACTCAATCAAATTGACTAGATTAATGAGATTCTTCACAAAATAGTGAAGCTAAATATTCATCTTCATGAGAAGAAGTATTGCTTCAGTATAAATATTACACAGCTGTGATAAAGACTAACATAATTTATCTTGAAACTGAAGTGAAAACAAGCATTGCCTTGAATTACAGGAAGAATATCTATGGTCTTTATTTGAAAGAAAAATACCACACTACAGTTTATTACCTCAAATATATGGCTTTTCCACATTCCACATGCCATATTGTTCACTTAAAAGGAAGAATTATTATTGGTTAGAGCAAAACTGTTTTTTCATAAGGAGCTTTGGTCACAGAATGCCTGTAAGGGTCTATAAAGAAGAGACGTGACAAAAGACATGACCAAATAAACACCAGAAGAACTGAGAAAAGCGTTGTAACTCCTGTTAGTTACAACAGGCCTAACGAAAATTAGGCTCCAATAGAAAGAAAAAAAAATACCTTAAAGATCCAAGATCTGATCCAACTTCTGCTAAAGTCTGTACATTTTTTCCCCTAGAAAACATGTAGCCATCCTAATCTACATGTCTTCCAGTCTTCTCTTGAGACTGATTTTAATATATTGAGGAAAAAAAGCCAAAACCAAAACAAAAACATCACACAATCCAAAATCTCACACTCAAAAGGAGTGTTTCAAGATCTTATTATTCAGATTCATGATAACTAACTTATTTGCAATCTAACAGTTGCTGAGACTGACATGTCTGCTTAGAAAAGATCCAGCGAAATTATAACGCAAATTCCTACCGAAGCTACAATCATACAGCAAATCTCCAGAAAAAAAAAAAAAAACACTGAATAGTGTAATCTAGTTTACTCTAAAGACTTGGAAACTTAAAGGCTCTCATTTAAGATGATGCTGTGCCATTGAACCAGATTTAAAATGCCATTATTCTTGAACCAATCTCCACATCTTGGGTCTTGAGCACAGTAACTAAATATTTGAGTATTGTAATTAGCATGAGAAAACTCAAACTCATGGTTCATCAGGTATGAATGTTTGTCTATTAAAACCCACTGACTCTTAATTTTTCAGACTTGGGTAGATCAGTTTGTCACATCTGGGATGGCAAAGAGGTCTGAGGGATACAACTACCTATGCTACCATTTATAGTAACGGAACAGAAAAGGATTTCTGGCATTTTCTCTTTGCAGAAAGGAAGAGACTGAGAAAGAATTACAAATGCAAATGAATATATGCTTAGTATTAAATACTCCGGAGTGACAGTTTTCTATCTCACATATTCTGCATTGTTATTTAATCTTAATCCTTAAATTAACAAATATTTACCAGTGTGTAATTTAATGCAAGAAGCTTCCAGATGTGTGAAAGCAGTGTACACAAACACATCAGGAGCAGAGCTTTTAGAAACAGACACTGCAAGCAAGGCAAAGATCTGCACACTTTACAGAGTGACTAAAGTGCCTCTTAATGCCCTATAAATATCATTAAATAGGCACATACATACTATCCATTATCTGACAGTTTCTAGCAGAGATCAAACAGTGGCACAACAACTGAACCAAGAAAGACAATTGCATGAAAGTTTTGTAGTAGCAAATCCACGACTGTGTATTTGTAACATCACTGACACTAATTTCCTTTTAGAAAGCTGTGTATGGTTAAAAAAAAAAAAAATCTTGCCTCAAAAAAATTCAGCTACCTGTGGTCTTTCTTTCCTAAAGATTTCTTGGTCACCAGCAAGATTCTTCTTTGTTCCAGTGTTGTTATGCATCAGACAGACCTGATGCATATTTCCAGCCTCACTTCCCCATCAAAGTACAGCTCATATTGCTGTGTAGGTTTGGAGCATAAGATCCTACTGCTATCCTCCAGAATCACCACCCAACTTCCTCTGTATTTGCTTTGCTCAAGTAAATCTCAGTCCCAAGTTTGTCACTGACCATGGCTGGCTCTTGTCTTGAACAACCACAAAGGCTTCATCCTTACTGCATTTTGTCTTCCTATATGCTCACAAAGCTCCCACGCATGCCAAGAGACACAGCTACTGTCTGTCACAGGAGCTGAGCTGTGGCCAGGAAAGGGTTGCTTTAATTTCAATCTCTTCTTGCTCTTCCTGCATTCTTCCCCTCAGTCAGGATTACTAGTATGCAGCCCAACACCCTTATGCAGCAAACTGATGTTTTCTGCATGCTAACATACTCATGTTCACAATGCTGATTCTTGGGAATAACAAGAGTTGCTCTAGGTTTTTTTTTTTGTTTTTTTAAGCAAGTAACAATTTAAAAACCAGTATCACTGTTGACAGCAAAACTGCACTGACATAAGAACAGCAGCTCCAGGTTAGTTCAAGTAGCTGCAGCTTCAGGTCATTACCCAGCCACCCTCATGTCCACTATTCCAGAAGCAGGATGTCCAGCCTTCAGCAAGACAGCAGCCTTCTTTAATGCCACAAGCCAGTGTCACTATGCTGTAAAACCCCATTCACCTGCCAGCCTGTGCAACCTGGGAATTGAAATCCCATCTGGAAAGGCCACTGGGCAGACACATCACTGACATACAGGGGTTCTTGCACACACTCATATGTTTCAGCCCATTTAATTAGTCCAGAATGGAATGTCATCCCTCACTTTAGAAGGTGAGAGTTGAATGTGTCCAGTACTGATGCCCTTCCACATAAATGTCGTGTGTGTTAGAGATGAAGGTGACAACCTTCTTTGCAGTATCACTCATGCCAACCACATGAAACCCCACATGATCAAACATTTATGCAGTTTACATCAGAGATGGAGCAAAATGGGAGGTATGACACCTGTCCCACTATTCCTGCATGGCAGAAAGGGTTTCTGGGCAGCTCTATGATATAGAATTTGGGCAGTGGTGAGAGGGCACTGCTAGGAGCCAGGGCCACTGAGAGGTCCCTATGCTCAGCAGGTTCCCAAGGATCTTTGGGAATGTCTCACTTTCTGGCATTTTTCATTCCCAAAAGTTCACTTGGAGACTGACAGAAGAATGGAGAAAATTTGTTTTTCTTCCATTAGGTGGCACCCTCCCTGTCATTCATTAATTTTCTATTAACATTAATAATCTCTTCCCAAGTTCAATTGCCAGTTATTTTTAGAAAATAATGCCATTCAGCACCACAGAAGGATAAAAGGAGGTCTTTCAGCTTGACTCTTCTGACAATGCTTTCTGAAGGATTATGACTGAGTTTATATCTATCATAATCCAAATGACTTTTAATGTATTAACCTCCAAGACAAACTTATTTGTTAGGATTCTGCAAACAGCAGTGCTATTCTGCATTTTGCTGGATGGCAGTGTGATGGCAAGCTTATAAAGTGCCTAGAGCCTAATTTTTCAGTGCTCATTTCAGTTATAATCACAATAAACATATAAATAGACATATTACAAACATTTCTCACAGAGTTTAGTGAGGAACAGATAGGTGGAAGTGGTGGGTGGAATTTAGCTCAGAATTTAACTACCCAGCAGAAATGTAGTCAGAGAAAAAGGGTTAATAGAATTTTATGAAAGCAGTGGGCAGTTTAACAACATTGGGTGGTCAGGGTCTCTTTTTCACAGTTCAGAGAACACCTTATCCTTTGGTAGCATAGTCAGGTGTGACTCTCCAGTGATGTAAACCACTAATTTAAACACCAACCCCCACCTATGAGGCCTCATCCCCAGTGCAACCACAGACCATGCAGAGTATGATTCAGTTGGCTGAGTCAGAATGAGCTTTTGTGTAGTGACAACATTTGGAGAGGGCTTATCTCTGCATTGTATGATTGAAGCAGGATGCCTGTGTTCATTTTTCTAACCCACCACAACAATCAAAACATCAATACACTTTGTCCAGAATAAATGCTTTATGCAAAGTAAGAATGAGAAAGAGAGCAAAGCCCTTTTCGGTGGATAGTTATACTTTTTTTCTTTTTTTTTTTTTTAAATAGTAACAAAAAAAAATCCTACAGTAAAGTAAATGGTATTGAACGAACTGATTAACTATTGAAAAAGCCAAAATCTCACTGTGGCCACAACTGACAGCTTGATTAGTGTCTTTTTCAAGGTTTTGAGAAATACCTTACCAGGGTGTGGAAGAAAAAGCATAAATTATTCAAGGACCACACACAGATATCATTAATAACCAGTCAAAGAAATGTCACAAACTTAGAAAATAATGGTATTTGCTCTCCAAAATGTAAACAAATGTCAAAAAGACATGCTGATCTTAAGTCAAGGAAATAATCATATCAGTATCTGGGTGGACAGAGCAAAACTGCTTCCCAGACAGACGGCTGCTGCCACACCCTGACTTTTCTCTACTTCACTTCTCATGGGTTCCTTGCACTTTGAAATGGAGGCAGCCTCACACACTCACCTTAATCACACACACAGACCCATTAGATCACAGTATGCCCCCGAACTCACCATTGAATTCATGGCAAAGTGATTGTGCTGCGTCTGCAGGTCAAGGGCATGTTGGTAGCTCACACCAATCTCTGTGTGACTCTGCAGGAACAATTCTTTGTTGTGGCTGATCCAGTCAAACATCTAGAAGTATTCAGACAGGACAGAAAAAAAAGTATTAGAGAAGGATGAAAAAAATTTTACACAGTGCAGAATATAAAACCTCACAGTTCTGAGACAGATTTATATGTAACATGGACAAAAAAACCTCAGCAACTCATCTATATTGCTTCACAGAATCATAAAAGTTGGAAAAGACCTGTAAGATCATCTAGACAAACTGTCAGCTCATCTCTGCTCTGCCCACTAGCCATGTCCTGCAGTGCCACATCTACATGTTTCTTGAACATCTCCAGGGAGGGTTTCTCCAACACCTCCCTGGGCAGCCTGCATTACCACTCTTTCTGAGAAGAAATTTTTCCTAGTATTTAACATGAATCTCATGGTGCAATGTGAGGCCATCACCTCTCATTCTATCACTATTACCCGCAGCCAAACCCCACCTCGCTACAATCTCCTTTCACAGAGTTGTAGAGGGATAAGATCTCCTCTGTGTCTCCTCTTCCCCAGACTAAACAATCCAAGTACCCTCAACCACTCCTCATAAAACTTGTGCTCCAGATCCCTCACCAGCTTTGTTGCTCTTCTCTGGACATGCTCCAGCACCTCAATACTTTTGTGTTGTGAGTGATCCCAAACCAAACCACAATACTCAAGGTGTGGCCCCACCACTGCCAAGTATAGAGGGGTGACCACCTCTTTGCTCCTGCTGGCTGCACTATTGCTGATACAAGTCAGGATGCTGTTGACCTTCTTGGCCACCTGGACACTCTGCTGGCTCACATTCAGCTGGCTGTTAATTAACAACCACAGATACTTTTCCACCACACAGCCTTCCAGCCACTCTGCCCTAAGCCTCTAGCATTACATGGGGTTACTACAACCAAAGTGCAGGGCACAGCACTTGGTCTTGTTGAACCTCATACAGCTGACCTCAGTCCATTGATCCAGCCTCCAGATCCCTCTGTAGAGCTTTCCTACACTCAGGCAGATCCACATTTCCTCACAGCTTGGTGTCATCTGAAGACATACTGAGGTTGCACTCAATTCCCTCCTCCAGATCATCAATAAAGATATTAAACAGGGAGCCAACGTTATTATTCCCAGCACTGAGCTCTACAACATCACAACACCCCTTAACATTGAGGACCACCCCACTGCCCCCCCTTCCTTGCCTATCCCTTCAGAAACATTCCTTATCAAGATACGCTTCTCAAGCAATGGCCACATTTAAGTTGTCACCAAAATGATAGGTCAGGAAACATAATTCATAAAGCACGTTCCTCATTTAACTGATGCAGGAGTCTTTTCCTATACATAATAGTAATTTAATATATAAAAGGATGGCAGCAAAGGGACCTAAATCAGAGGTTGCTTCATTTACCAAGGCTCTTAACAGTTCATAAAGAACCTTAAATCCAGAAATGGACCAAAAATGTCATAAATAATATTGATGGGATTTTCTCACCCCGTTTTCTTTAGTCTATACATAAAATTTTCCAAATGTTGTATCCAAATAGCAAGTTGACTTCCTACTCTTATATTTCCTAGATCTTTCCAGTTCTAGTGCCAAAAAGCACTCTATCTTCCACTTATTATTTTTGGGATGAAGAGGAAAAAATGTATTTTATTAATATCTATAAAGAGTACACATTTCAACTTCTTCCACTTCCAAATGTATTTCCAAGCAAAATGGATAGTTCAGACAGAAATATGTTGAATAAAGATGATGAAACTCATTCCTTATTTTGTAGCACTTCAATGTAACACTTCTATCACTTGTGTGTTCATTAGTTATAAGTTGTCACAAGTCAGCTTGGAGATGGTGTGTTCGTGCTTTGGCTTCTTCTGAGTTGAGATTAAACATTTTCTAAGTAGGAACCTTTCATTCTTTATGCCTTACTAAAGCTGTGCAGGCATTATAATCTTGCAACAAACATTTTCTGCTACAAAATCCCTTCAAACTTCATTCACTCATGTTGCCTCCATCTTCATCCCAGAAAACTGGTGATCTGTCCATTGATAAGAACTCTGTCACAGTTAAAAAACAAACAAAAAACCCTCCACTGCTTACTAGTTCATTAAAATTCATTAATATAGAGGCAGTGGAGGTCTGGCCAATACAGTCTCAGATGTTAAAGAAAGTGTTTTCAGGTGAAAAGGTAAGAGAGACATTTTTTAAGCAGCCACCAAAGGATCAGTCTAGATCTTTGTTATAACATCATTGCATTCTCCAGTAAGTAGCTCTTTTCTTCCTTCAGCACTGAAGAACAGATTTTGACCTCTGACAGCTGAAGAGCACTGCTCTGGCACTGCACACTGCAATAGCTTCTCAGGGTCCATTATCTTTTCCCTAAAGAGAAGGTGATCCCAAGAACAGAGAAAAGGCCTGCATGGGTCACCTTAGACTCCTGCAATAAGCTCAGTATTTTGCACTCAGCACTCGATTCAGCACAGCAGTATATTGCTCTGTGCAGGGGATTTGCAGCAATAATACTGATTATCCCCTTCATTAGAAAGAAAATGAACTTTGCAAGCACTCCAACACCACTAGACACACTGCAATGCCATGGTCCCAAAAATCCGTCACTTATGCCTGACTTCTTAAACTTTTATTTATGAAAATACACTTGAAACTACAGAGTCTACACAATCTCAAATGTCACATTGATGAGTTTTCTTAAAGAACAAATTTGATTCAAAGTTCCAATGATGCAAGATCAAACCAACATCTCATCTTACCCATTTTCTGATTTGTACCAATGGAGATGATAAAAATAAAGCCTACCACCCTTTTTTTCCTGACAGCGTAAATAAGATTTTATGCAAGGATGAGTTCAGCAGTTTCAAATATTACTGCCAATTAAACAGAATGAAACAACCTACTATAACTTGAAGAGCTACCTAAAGCAAGAAGAACTGTGCTGCTGAGGAATTTATGTCCGAACAAGACTTTACATCTCTATTTAGAAACAAGCACAGACGTTTTGTAAGTAGATATGCATTCAATCTGAATATTTCTTAATGTTTTTAACAATCTAAAGATGTACAGGAAGAAGGAAATTGGCAGCAATCCACTGAAAACAAACAGTAAATCTAATATTTTATGCTTAGTGAGGCCAAATTGGGAACTTTTTAGAACAAGTAATTTAAACTAAGTATCTATTATTCTGTGGATAAGAAGCATTTCCTCCATCTAATCTATACATATATTATTGGATGAGAATACAGGTTATTTTAAACCATTTCTTTGCCCTTTAAAGTGCAATAATAGATTATAAAGGAAAAAACAACAAAATTTAAAAGATGATCAATCATTTTATCTAGCTTAGTCAACTGAAATACACACTAGCAGTTGAAAGGATAACCTTCATGAATTTTGAACAATGCACAAAGATCATAGAATCATTAAGGTTGGAAGAGACCATGAAGACTATCAAGACCAGCCATCAACCCATCCCCACCATGACCACTGACCACTTCCCTCAGTGTCACATCTCCACAGTCCACTTCCAGGGATGGTGACTCCACCACCTCCCTGGGCAGCCTGTGCCAATGCATTACCAAAGATGTCATATCACCTTTCAAAAGGGTACATTTTTAAAACTTCTATTCATGGACAGTAGCAGAGTCTTCAGTTTAGACATTGGATCTTTCTATCATATTCTTCAAAGAAAAAAAAAAAATAAAAAACCACTTTGGTTTCAGCCAGCCTACGTCTATAGCAAACTATCCCCCATCAATGTTGTCTGGATTCTCTCCCTTTAATTGCTGCAAACTTCTCTGACTTGAAAGCTCAGAGTAAAAGTCACTTCATGTGGTTTGAAGCAGGAAGAAAAACAAGCAAGATAACCTGGAATGAGTGCAGAAGAAAAAAAAAAATAGGCGAATTCATAACAGTCTAAAGTAAGGTTAATGATTCTTTGCTCAGTAAAAACACTGAATAATAAGCAGTCTCCACCATCACTCTTACTTTAAGCACTAGCTATGGCTTTGCAAAACTGCAGGCACATCTACCTTATGCAATACATCACTATCTTAAACACCCAAATAATTTCAAGATAAACTGGTACCTCTGCATGGCTTAGGCCAGTGCTGTGTGGAAATACTAGTCTGATGCCCAAAACCAGAACAGCCTGGGCATAGTACTACTTTGATTTGTCTGTTGCTTTTGTTGCCAGGGCTTGTTCAGAGACTTCTCAAACATTTCTGTTTAACGCTCACCAAATCGTAGACATTTTTCAAGTACCCTGAAGAATGGTTTGGGTTTTCTTTATTGTCCATCTAAAGCAACAAGGAAAACTTTGTTCTTTCACTCTCCTACTAATCAAAGATGCACAGGAATAAGTACCACACAGTCCCACAGACCGCAGGATTTACTTAACAAACATAGGATTTAAATAAGTAAATAATGAGGTTGTTTGCTTGTGAGATCTAACAATTGTGTTTTCAAACTTTTCTCTTCAACCACAAAGTCTGTAAATGGACCAAAATAAGATGAGTTTCTCAGGATAACAAAATTGGAAGCTCAGGCTCTGTGAATATACCAGATGCTGCGTGACTCACAGTGAAGTTATGAGAGCTGCTAATGCATGGCTGGTGGGTTCAATACAAAGGCCTGACAACATTGTCTGACCTGCCCATATTACCAGCAATATTTCCTGAAAGCTTTCTAGTTAAACTTGTTTTCCACATGAAAAACATTGATGCTTCCTGTGTTCCTGAAATGAGTTGGTCAGTTTGCTTAATTAAAGCAGACCATTAAGAATGTGAGTGTGGCAAAGACCCAACAACTGCTGTTTTACTCAACTCTGCAAAGCTTGCTCTAGTATCAAGGGCCTAATGGGCTCCTGAAAAAATGTTCAACATCCTTTGATAAGTTAGTTTCCCTGTCAAGAGAATGCATTTTTAATGCAGTAAACAGCAGAATCCAGAGAATGTGCCCTGAGAGATCAGTTTAGACCAGACATGGTGTCTCAGCTACCTGATGTTTTCCATGTCATTTTAATGTTGCTAAACAGCAT